TGGGTCGGCGCCATAGCCTTCTCACCGGACGGGCAGCTGGTCGCGTCAGCATCTGACAACAACACCGTACAGCTGTGGGACGCAGCAACGGGGTCATGCCGCAGCACGCTCAAGGGCCATTCCGACTATGTCAACGCCGTAGCTTTTTCGCCGGACGGGCAGCTGGTCGCGTCGGCATCCTGGGACAATACCGTACGGCTGTGGGACGCAGCAACGGGGTCGTGCCGCAGCACGCTTAAGGGCCATTCCCACTCAGTCAACGTCGTAGCCTTCTCGCCAGACGGCCAGTTTCTTCAGACAGATGGAGGAGACATTCCTCTATCTTTACCTCCTATGAGAACTTCTTCATTTCAGGATACGGAGTTATCTAAACTCTTTATAAAAGATCAGTGGGTAACACTGAACCAACAACCTTTGTTATGGCTTCCTTCTGAATATCGACCGACCTGTACAGCACTGTATAAAGATACAATTTGTTTAGGGCATTCTTCTGGGCGTATTTCTTTCCTTAAAGTTACTTAGAAGTAGCATTGCTATAGGCTTACCTTTTAATTTATATGTTTCTTTATAATCTCTATCTTATATTGGGTCCGGGGAGCAGTAAGTATTTATATTGCGAAATATTACTCTATAGAGTCTTCCAGTCGTTGCTTATTCTTAGAAAGCTTAATAATACATATGCAAAGGTTCCAGTCTTGGCTGCAATAGTAGGAAGGGTGGACGACCCGCACCGGCCACACCGTTGTGAGGTGGCGATTCTATAGGTGTTCTCAGAGAGTTAAGTTGGTTGACTGGAGGCATGGCCAAGGCTGCGGGGCTAAGATTGGCCCGCTTGCTAAGACTCCGCACAGCCACAGCTCAACAGCCACCCTAGGTAAATTACACTATAATAGTTATGTAAGGCGGGGTTGTTCTGCACTAGCCTAAACTAGTAATCGCTTTAATTAGAGGTACCGATTAGGGTAGCGACCCTGTATAAATTTCCGCGCGATAGCAGACATATGTCACGGTGTCGATGTATCGGGCATTTGAACGCGAGATAGACAAGTATCAGATTCAAAGAAGGATAACTACGTGCTATTACCGTGGTTGGTTACAAGACGTTAAGATGCCGAGTTGAATTAGGGACGGGAGCTAGGCTATATACAAGACGAGAAAAGGGGCTCGCACATAGCGCGTGGCCCTAACAGAATCGGGAATCAGGTGGCAGGCGCGTGGCGCACGCGTGCGCACGTATGCGGGAACAAGGTGTCAGGGGATTGATGCTTAGAGGGAGGCCATGATCAATACCGTGACAACATAAGGCTAATAATTACTCGCGAGCATCGTTGCAAAGTTTTAAGGGTTCGATAAGTCCCTATTATTAGTACAAGGAGTAGTAAGAGTTTAGCGGCAGTACTATAGAGAAGGAAGACTAATCTGCTATAAAAAGAAGGCTTTCTATATATTAAGCGCAAAGGTAAAAATAGTTCTAGATATTTAGAAATAGCTATAGTATATAACTTATATAGAATTATTATAGATACTAACCTATTATTATTATTATTATTAGGTTCTATTAGGCCGATTTAGCTCCCGTTAGGGTCCATGCGGCAGTGCTATCTAGGTTTTATTTACAAGGGGAAACCGTTCGCTCTATAGCGGTCGGGTGAAAACCTTGTTTTCTACAGTGTATAACGCCTTGCGTTCCTTTTGTTTCTGCGCGGCTGT